ACTTCGGAGTGTCGGGAGACGGTTCCGTTTGAAACCCGGATACCATTCTCGTATCGTCACGGCGGCTTTGGAGGGAACCGTCTCGCCATTTCTTATCAGTTTGTTGAGGCGGTCTGTTTGCCTCGTCCTATTCTTCAGATAACCGCGTTGGTAGGCGGACGACACTCTTAGCACGAGAGCGGGATGCGAGGAGGTTCTGTCTACACCCGTCCGTAGCAATAGCGACAATCCGGCTTTGGCGCGAAATTGGGCCAGCGCGCGAAGGGTGCGTTGAACGAGTCGGCCTCTGGCGGCTCTTTTTGAGGGAGGAGTCACAGAACGGCCCTTCAAACAAGTGTGAAGAGCGTTGACAGAGAACAGGGTTTGTACCGTGACGCAGCCGTCATTGAGGTCGGTGGAAGCTTCACCTGACGTAACTTTGGCATGCAGCTGGGGTTGAGAGCCGTCGTTGGTAATTCTGGACATGTCTGCAACTCAGACGGAAGAGCCTTTCTATTGTCTCATAGGAGGAGAATTTTGCTTGGACTTGGCGCGGGGTGAAGTTGATTTCCGTAGCGGAGGATGAAAGGTAACTCTTCCTGCCTCGAACTGCTGACGCCTGGTACGAATTCGTACGTCGACTTTTGTCCTCTCCTCGAAACCGGGATCGGAATCCGCGGGAACGGCTGCCGACAACCGTGAAGATCTCGGGGCGGCTGAGGGATGCGTGGCTCCCACTGTGGGTCCGCCAGAATTGGTTCGCGGAAGGTGAAAATCGTAGCCTCATTGAATTCATTGCTATCGTGCTTGAATATAACAACTTTTTTTATTGAGTTAACAAAGATACCGGTCTTTTTTTTAGATACCGGTTTAAACAGAAGCAAACGAATCAAAAGGGGTAAAAAATAAAAAAATTAGCAAACTTTCCCTTTAGAAGCGCAAATGCGCGAGCAAATCGCTGTTTTGCGGTCCGCTCGGCCATTTGTGTGGGTTCTTTGGTCCAGACCGGCCGGGTTAAATCCGTGACGGCACGCGAAGCGGCGATCTAGATAGCGCGGGTCGGATCTACCACGATTTGACGGATATTATTCGCGCAAAGGGAATAATAGCCGGGGAGGATTAGTTTCACTGGCAAGGAAATAATCGGGTCGCAAATCTCGGGAATCAAAACGGCCAAGTCTTTGATCGCGGAGTGTCAGTTTCGGTGGGTATGATACTGAGATAATGATTTTTTATACGGGCTCTGCGAACACACTTAGACGAGCTGCCTTTTTCTTTGTGACGGTGGACGCTGTCGCCGCGAGAAATTGCAGCATCTGAATGCTTCAAGTCCTCGAAAGTCCTCAAAAGCTTCAGCGCTCAGAAGTCTCCAAATTCGGCATGAGTTGTCGGCTCATAGTTCCAACAGCTTTTTGAAATGAAACAAGAGGGGCCTATTTATAGGCTCCCTTTACTGTGCCCAGAGAGCGCACAGAAAGATCTGGGTCGGCACACCCATGGGGTGGGCCGGCAGGCTGGGTCCGAGCCGCACCCATGGTTGGTCGGGCTTTGAGGCGCTGAGCCCGGGGACCCTTGGGTTTTGTTTCGGTCAGCTTGTGTCGCGCGGTTGTATCCCGTGCCTTTTGTACCGTGAGATTCGGTTGTGCAGGTTGAATTTATGGTCCTGCTGGGATTCGGATGATACTGATTTTGGCAGTAAGTCGGATTCCGCTAAGATTATTGGTCAGTTAAATCCACGTTCTGGAGTTCGAGTACCGAAACGCGGATTCATGAGGAATTCGAGTCGTGATTTTCGGGTAACCGAGTCCGCTTCTGTTAGTTTGATGACTCGCTTGATATCCACAGCGGACTGTTGTGGCGCATTGCATCCCAGCGGCGCAGAAATTGGATGTGATTTTCGTTAGGGCTGTGTCGTGCGATTTCGTGCACGACGGCTCGTCGCCCTCGTGTGGTG